TTTTTTTTTTTGGTTGCAGTTGTCTTTTAACTTTTAATTGTTGTTTTTTAACTGGCCCGGACCGGGTTTGAACCCACCAGCCTCAGTGAATGTGGTTGGCGCCCTGCTCATTGAGCAATGGGCACCACCCAGACTTTACTTTTCAGTAGTGGCAAAGATACAGCAAAAATCACTTGTGTTGGCTTACGCTTTGTGGGGTGTTTATGTTTTCATCAGGCTGAGCATGGTGGCTCATGCCTGTAATCCTAGCACTTGGGTAGGCCAAGGTGGGTAGATTGTCTGAGCTCACAGGTTCGAGATCTGCCTGAGCAACACTTACCTCTAAAAATAGCTGGGCGTTATGGTGGGCACCTATATAGTCCCAGCTACTTGGGAGGCTGAAACAAGAGAATCGCTTGAACACAAGAGTTTGAGGTTGCTGTGAGCTATGACGGACTTCATGGCCTTCTACTGAGGGCAACAAAATGAGACTGTCTCAATAAATAAGTAAGTTTTTATCTTCATTTGAGAAATTTATTAAAGTCTAAGAGGGGAGGTTGAAAAAAACCTTCTGCATTCATTACGTTGTACTTTTTTGTTCTCTTAAAATTTTATCACTTTTTAAAATTTCGGGTGGCTGAGGTGGGTGGATCTCTTGAGCTCAGGAGTTTGAGACCAGCCTGAGTAAGAGCAAGACCCTATCTCTACTTTAAAAAAAAGAGAAAATAGCCAGATGTTGTGGCAGTTGCCTATAGTCCAGCTACTCAGGAGGCTAAAGCAGGAGGATTGCTTGAGCCTAAGAGTTTGAGGTTGCTGTGAGCTATGACACCATGGCACTCTACTTAGGGCAACAGAGTGAGACTCTTATCTATAAATGAATGAATGATAAATAAATAATAATATCTGGGGCACGTAAGCAGAAGTGTTCTTGCTTTGAACTTAACTCACTCTTAGAGTCCCAGTTGGATAGAGACTTTACTTTGTTATAAGGTCTTTCTCTTTATTTTATGTGAATTGAAGAAAATATACTTTATTAGAAATTAGGTTGGTCTTTGCTTTTCTAAAATACAATAATACCTTACGTCTGTGGTAGTAGTTAACTAAAAGAGAAAGTAAAGTGCAACCAAAATTTCTTTGCCATATTGGCAGTGTTTCCTCAAGTGAAAATCCCTTATGTCTGAGATTATTGTTTTAAACTGGAAAGTTTAATTTTCTTTTTATACACCTGAATTTTCTTTCTTTTTTTAAGCAACAGCCACAATAAGAAGGTACAAATGCACATGCTAGACTTGATGAGTTCTATCATCATGGAAGGTGATGGAGTTACTCAAGAATTACTGGATTCCATTCTCATTAACCTCATTCCTGCACATAAGGTCTGTAAAATATGACGATATTAAAGGTTCATATTTAAAGGCAGTAGTGCTGCTCATAAGAATAAGCAGTTACGTTGTGATCATTTGCAATCCGATGTAATTATACCCGCTATTACTCTCCAGCCCTAAATGAAATAGATTAATACATATTAGTTTCATAAGTATTACTTTCACAAGATATATTGATTAACATATTATGTAAGAATTTCATAAGGGTTTGGGTTATTGTCTTTTTAGATAGTTTGATTTGGAAAAGAAATGTATTTCTTCCTTTGTAACACAGATGTAGAACATATATAGTAGAACTCATGTAGTACATTTTTCTTTGTCACTTTCAGAAAAAAAATTGGCAGAAAAGGGGAGCTGTAGGCTGGGTGCACTGGCTCATGCATGTAATCCTAGCATTCTGGGAGGCTGAGGTGGGTGGATGGCCTTAATTCACAAGTTTGAGACCAGCCTGAGCCAGAGCAAGACCTCATCTCTAAAAATAGCTGGGTGTTGTGGTAGGTGTCTGTAGTCCCATCTACTTGGGAGGCTGAGACAAGAGAAGTGCTTAAGCCCAACAGTTTGAGCAGTCTACCAGGACTGACAAAGTGAGACTCTGTCTCAAAAAGTGGGGAGAGGCTGTATAGTTAATGTTAAGGGGAAAAGAATGATTCAGAACTGTATCATTCCTCTCCATTTCCTGTTTCTTTTTTTTTAAAACAAGCAGAAGTTTATTAATACATGGTGTATATATTACTCAGGAGAGGTCTCAGTTCAAAAATATTTCTCTTAAGGCAGTGGCTTAGGGGCCTTGCTTAAGTAGTATTTTAATACATCCATATATTTTATATAGCGACAAGACAAAGGATAAAGCAGGTTTATTTTAAAAGGCAGAAAAATGCACAGTCACCCAGGTTCCTCTGATGTCTGCTGGTACCTTCTCTGAGCCTATACGTTGTGTCTAGTAGAGGATTTATGTCCTGCCATCAGGCAATTAAAGGCTGAGGCAGAATATTTCCCTGCATTTTCAGTGTCCTTAACAATCTTCAATATTTTAGGGAGAAATGATTTTCTTCAAATGCAAAAATTGTCCTTCTTTGCTTAACTGGGTAGTTGATGTCCTCTAGGACATCCTCTGCCCCCAGATTCCTATGGCCACTCCTCCATGGGCTCTACATGAGTGGATGGTTAGTTTTTCTGCTTCAGTAACAAAAAACAGGGCGGTGCCTGTAGCTCAGTGGGTAGGGCACCAGCCCCATATACCGAGGGTGGCAGGTTCAAACCCGGCCCCAGCCAAACTGCAACAAAAAATAGCTGGGCGTTGTGGAGGTTGCTGTGAGCTGTGTGATGGCACGGCAATCTACGAAGGGCAATAAAGTAAAACTCTATCTCTACAAAAAAAAAAAACAAAAAAACTGGTCACCACTTAAAGAAGTGGGTTCCACACTTTGATGAGCATCAGAATGACCTGAAGAGCCTGCTAAGAACACTGACCCCTCCCTCACTTTCTTGTGCATGGGCAGAGGTGGCCATTCGAGAGCTACTACTGTAGGCTTTCAGGTGGCAGGCAGAGTGCTAAATCTCTGGAGGAGAGACAGATGATTTGCCCCATGGAGTTGTCAGCTCAGGTTCAAGGCCTGTCTGTTCAAGGTGGGTCTGTTGGGGAACTTCCTTCTCCTTGTAGTGTCCCAGGATGCAAATTATAATGCAGAGTTGGCAGCAAGGAACTCAGGCAGTGGAACTGAAGACAAAGTGAGGATGAAGATTTGGGAGCTTTTGCCTAGAAGACTGTTTTCCGACGTAGTCTAGGAGAGTACAAACCTCCCCGAGCACAGAGCTGCTGTCTGCTTCCCTTGGAGCCTCCATCACAGAGAATAAAGCAGGGGTGGAGTGGTTTGGTCCTGTCTCTTCTAGTCTTTAAGATAACATCCCTAGGTGGGAGGGGCAAGTCTTTCCTATTAAAACGTTCCAGTCTTGCAAAGTCCCCAGCAATTTGGATGCATGAAGTCTAGTAAGTCTAGTACCCAACATAAGCCCGTGCCATTTCCTTTTTCTTTTTTTTTCTTTTTTTTTTTTTTTTTTTTGTTTTTGAGACAGAGTCTCACTTTTTCGCCCTCAGCAGAGTTCTGTGGCATCATAGCTCACAGCAACCTCAAATTCTTGGGCTCAAGAGATCCTCTTGCCTCAGTCTCCCAAATAGCTGAGACTTACAGGCACCTGCCACAACACCCGGCTATTTTTAGAGATGAGGTCTCACTCTAGCTCAAGCTGGTCTCCAACCCGTGAGCTCAGGCAATCCACCTGCCTTGGCCTCCCTAGTTTAAAGATTACAGGCATCAGTCACCGTGCCCAGCCCCACTTCCTTTTTCTGTTTCTCTTTACCAGGTCCTAAGAAACTGAAGTTCTTGGTTCCCCACAAGCTCCACCACTAGGGTCTGCTCAAGCCTACCCCAATGTTGATATTTGCCCTCCTGCTCTTCCTCTCATAGTTCAGTAATCAAATATCAGATGTTAGATGAACAACGTGACTTCTTATACTTGCTCACAAAAAGATGAGATTAATTTAAAATTCTTCTCTTGATTCTCTAAATATTTGTATTTTATTAATGCAAATAAATCTGTAGTTGATAAATTTTGAGATTATGGCAAAGGGGAATATATTTCAGGCAAAATAAGACAAAGACTTAGCAAGGGATAGACTGCATATTTAGTGTTTACATCTAGGTAGAGAATATTTTTATGAATAGGAGATATGTACCTTATTAAGAAGTAGAAGTGAGGTGGCACCTATGGCTTGGTGTGTAGGGCACTAGCCCCATATACCGAGGGTGGTGGGTGGGAACCCAGCCCTGGCCAAATTGCATCAAAAAAATAGCCAGGCATTGTGGCAGGCACCTGTAGTCCCAGCTACTTGGGAGGCCAAGGCAAGAGAATTGCCTAAACCCAGGAGTTGGAGGTTGCTGTGAGCTGTAACGCCACAGCACTCTACCAAGGGAGATAAAGTGAGACTCTGTCTCCACCAAAAAAAAAAAGTAGAAGTGAGCCGGGCTTGGTGGCTCATACCTGTAATCCTAGCATTCTGGGAGGCTGAGGTGGGTGGATTGCCTGAGCTCAAGAGTTCAGGACTAGCCTGAGCGAAAGTGTGACCCCATCTCTAAAAAAAAAAAATAATAATACAAAATAGTCAGGCATTGTGGTGGGTTCCTGTAGTCCCAGCTACTTGGGAAGCTGAGGCAAGAGAATTACTTGAAGCCAAAAATGAGACCTCATTTCTAAAAATAGCTGGGCGTTGTGGCAGGCACTTGGGCAACAGAGTGAGACTCTGTCTTTAAAAAAAAAGAAAAGGGAAAGAAAAGAAAAAGAAGTGTAATTTAACACTAATCTTTTCTTTTTTTTATTTGAGACAGAGTCTCAAGCTGTCGCTCTGGGTAGAGGACTGTGCCATCACAGCTCACAGCAACCTCAAACTTTTGGGCTTAAGTGATTCCCTTGCCTCAGCCTCCCAAGTAGCTGGGACTACAGGCACCCACCACAACACTCAGCTATTTTTTCTTTTTGTTGCAGTTGTCATTGTTTTAGCTGGCCCGGGCTGGGTTTGAACTAGTTCAGACTAGTTAAACTGCCAGTTTAACACTAGTATTAACCTGTTGCCAGTGGAATAAAAACCTAGAACAAAAATCAGGAAGCTACAATTTGCAGATCAAATGTGGACCATTGCTTGTTTGTGTAAGATGTTATTGGAGCACAGCCATGTTCATTTTCATTATGTTTATTTATGGCTGTTATGCTATCATAGCAAAGGTATGGAGTTGCAGCTGTGACTAAAATATTTATTATTGGTCCTTCACATAAAAAGTTTGCTCACTGCTGGCCTAACGTCTGTGTTTCCTGTTATTTTTTTTGAGAGGTGTAAGATGATGGTGAATGAACCTTAATTTGTTCCAAAACTTCAAACTATGGAGACGTTAATAAATATTCTTCAAAACAAGAATTTCTTTTTCACTAAGTTTTTAAAAATTATGTATTGCTCTTCTGCAGACTTTCTCAAACTCTTTAATTTGTTATATTCAACATTTCAAAAATATAATTGATTGAGAATTCTTTTTATTTGGAAAACCTTCTAGGTCTACCTACTCCAGAATCACATTGATTAAATAGTGAAATAGTTAATGAGATAGAGGTATTTATGTGTGTATCTAGGATACATGAATGTAGTTGCCATTTCACTTTAACTAAACCAGAAACCCTTAGGTCTGCATCAAGAATGTAATGTAGGACTGCACTTTTGGCAAACTTACCTAAATACCTTTTAGTTTTTGATTCATAATTAAGTTTAATTTTCAGTTACTACATTTAGGGCCACATGCCTAGAGGAGGTTGGGTAAGAACTTGAATGGAATTCAGTTATATTTTTTGCTTCATAGTTTTAGTAGATTTAAAGACTACAGCATTTTAATGGTGCTGTCTCATAGATTTACTAAATTATTTGTAACTTCACATATTTTTATTGTTTTCCAGAACTTAAATAAACAGTCCTTCGACCTTGCAAAAGTCCTGTTGAAAAGGACCGTCCAGACTATTGAGGCATGCATTGCCAATGTATGTATTTATATCTATATTTAGTCCATAATTGTATAATTCTTAATCCATTGTACTAATTTATTAGAACCTCTTACATACAAGTTTATTTAGCCCAGGGGCCCTCAAACTTTTAAAACAGGGCTGTCCCTCAAACCATTCGAGGGCCGGACTGTGGGCCCCGAGACAAGTTGGCTGCTAAGCAGGGCAGAGGCAGCAAAAACACCCAGCGACTGGATAAATGTCCTAGGTGGGCTGCATGTGACCTGCAGGCTGTAGTTTGAGGACACCTGATTTAGCCTGTAAATAATTTCAACTTTTTAAAGCAAAGAACAATGAACTTACATAATCAAAGTTAGAGAAATGCAGTATCAGTTTCATGGCACTGTTTTAAAATGGCACAAGATGGTAGATGGTGCTTTATGAAAACTTACCTCTAACTCCCCCCTTACCTGCATTTCTATTTATGTTTATTTTACTGTTTCCTAGTTAGGCTGATCTTTTTTCACTTTCTCCCTGCACATTTATTTTTGAGTTTCTCTGTCTTCCTTTATCTGTGTATTTTCCTGTTTATATTTTGTAGGTCATTCTCCTGAAATATTTGAATAGTTGTTATATGTAGTAATGAAAATACTCTTAAGAAACTATTGAGTAGAGGTTTGTTCTGTTCTTCTTTTTTTTTATTAAAAATCGGTAATTTGGGTAATTGTAATTCTCCTATCTTATTTTAACAGTTCCATTCGACATTTGATCATGTTTGTATCTATTTTCCTACATACTTGATATAAAATTTTATATTGTTTTCACTTATATATAATGTTCCTCCAAATTAATACATTCCCATTTCCCTATTGTTATACATTTAGGTTTTTATTGGTGTTTTTTCCTTTACTAATCATTTTTGTGAATGTTGCATTTATCTATTGACGAATTACTTTTCTCAGATAAAACCTAAATGAGAATTTTTTATTTTTTGAGACAGAGTTTCACTATGTTGCCCTCAGTAGAATGCAATGGCATCACAGCTCACAGCAGCCTCAAACTCTTGGGCTTAAGAGATTCTCTTGTGTCAGCCTCCCAAGTAGCTGGGACTGTAGGCACCCACCACAACACCTGGCTGTTTTTTTTGTTGCAGTTGTCACTGTTGTTTAGTCAGCTGGGGCCAGGTTCGAACCTGCCAGCCCCAGTGTATATGGGCCAGCGCCCTAACCACTGAGATACGGGTGCCAAGCCTAAATGAGAGTTTTTTAATTTACTTGGTATTTATGTGTTATATTAGTAACATTTCTATTACCAAATATTTAAACAGGTTACAATTTTTTTTCAATTAGTACAGAATTGTATACAGTGAAAATGACCCTGTTCAACCTTGAACACCCTATTCTCAATTTTCAGAAATAACTGTCACCAAGAAGTTCTTATATAGTCCTTTCAGAAGTAGTGTTCTGTTTGTTTGTGTGTGTATTTTGTTAAAACTGTCTTCATTTTTTTTCAAGGTCTGCATAGTAAATAGAAATATTTCTAACTCTGTTGCTTTTCAAAGGAAATACATCCATATATGGTACTACCAGAAATATATACTTGTATCAGTTGCATACAGCTACCCTTTTAGCATTTTAAAATTATTTTTTTCTAAATGTGGGTGAGAGTTTGAGGGCATTGATGGAGTATCTTTTAATTTGTGCTCTTGGTATTATGTATTCTTCGTTTCTCCTTAGCATTCTTTTAAATTATCAGTTGACTTTTTGTGTCAGCATTTTATCATTTGAGTCAAAATGTGTTTCCCTTTCTCTGGGTATTAAAAACCAAAAATAAACATAAGCCTCATCCTTTACCTTTAAATACTCTTTATTACTAAATAATGAAAAATTAGATTAAAGAAAAATTAAAAATTGAGACTTAAACATTTTTCTCTGCTACAAGGAAATTTCTCTGTAAAATTTCCTATAATGAACTACACAAACTATCTATCTACATTGTTTTGTTTTAATGAAAAATAAGATTCCTAGGCTTGGTGTGGTTAGGGCGCTGGCCACACGCACCTGGGCTGGTGGGTTAGAACCCAGCCAGGGCCTACTAAACATCAATGACAACTACAGCAACAACAAAATAGCCGGGTGTTGTAGTCCCAGCTCCTTGGGAGGCTGAGGCAAGAGAATCGCTTAAGCCCAAGAGTTTGAGGTTGCTGTGAGCTGTGATGCCACAGCAGTCTACCATGGGCAACATATCTATCTCAAAAAGGGGGGAGGAGGAATAAGATTCCTAGAAATGGTAGCCTTATTCAAAATATAGCCAACATCTCAATTCTTATTTTACTTTTTAAACATTCATGATACTGTTGAGGAAATATTTTTATTTCTTCTGCTGTTGAGAGTATCATATTAGTAATTCAAACACCTATTCTTTGTTACACACCCCCCCATAGTTATATATATAGTGCCTAACTATACTATAGTTTTTTTAAAACCATGTTTGTGGAAAGCTTCTAGAAAATCGCTTTAAAATGAAATGTGTATGTTATTTTTGTTTTTAATATCTCCTGTAGTTTTTCAATCAAGTCCTGGTGCTGGGAAGATCGTCAGTAAGTGATTTGTCAGAACATGTATTTGATCTAATTCAGGAACTTTTTGCTATAGATCCTCATTTGTTATTATCTGTCATGCCGCAGCTTGAATTCAAACTGAAGGTAGGAATGACCAATTTTTAAGCCATTTAAACTTTAAAGGAAAAACATATTACATAGTTAATCTGTAACTCTGAAAGAATAAAATGTGAGTTCAGTTTATCTCCTTATATTAGTTAAGGTTTACATATTTCTTCTAAGGTTTACATTTTTCAGTCATTTGAATATAATAGTATATATCATTTGGGTGATAAGAGAATTTACATTGCAAAATTATACCTAGTTGTTAAATGTCTACTTATGAGTACATGAAACAAGTAATAAATATAAAAAAATGGCATCTAGAAGTTTATAATTTGTGTTGGTATTAAATGTTATTATGAGATAGTTATATTTTAGAACATCAAAAGACTTTAAATTGAGGATGACTTTTTCATGGTATAGATTAAGGATATAAGTTTCATTGTATAATTTGGGAGTATATATGTTTTATTTATAGCCAACTAAGCAGAGAATTGATACCTCCTCCAAAAAATGTTAAGGGCAAGCCAGTCAATCCCCTAACCTCACTGAACTACAGAATATCTTCAGTTTGCTTAGTATTTTATACTTTTTGAAAATAGTGTTTATATCCAGAGGGCTGGGGGCAGAGGCTCACACCTGTAATCCTACCACTCTGGGAGGCTGAGGTGGATGGATTACCTGAGCTCATGAGTTTGAGACCAGCCTGAGCACAAGTAAGACCTTGTCTCTACTAAAAATAGAAAAACTAGCTGGGCATTGTGGCCTATAGTCCCAGCTACTCAGGAGGCTGGGTTAAACTCTTGGGATCACTTGAGCCCAAGAGTTTGAGGTGGCTATACCCAAGGCATAGAGTGAGATTGTGTCTCACAAAACAAACGAACAAAAAGGTTTTATATCCAATATCTTGTTTGATACTTAAATCCACAGGACTGCTTGAGCCCAGGAGTTCATGACTAAGCTGAGCAATATAGTGAGATCTCCAACTCTTTTTTTAGGATTTTTAAAAAACAAATTAGCCAGCTCGGCGCCTGTGGCTCAAACAGCTAAGGCGCCAGCCACATACACCTGAGCTGGTGGGTTCAAATCCAGCCTGGGCCTGCCAAACAACAATGATGGCTGCAACCAAAAATTAGCCCGGTGTTGTGGCGGGTTACTGGTTATTTAAGATATAACCAGTAATCTCAGCTACTTGGAAGGCAGGAGACTTGCTTGAGCCCAGGAGTTGGAGGTTGCTGTGAGCTGTGAAGTCACAGCACTCTACCCAGGGCGACAGCTTGAGGCTCTGTCACAAAAAAAAAAAAAAATTAGCCAGGTATGGTGGTGTGCAACTGTAGTCCCAGGTATTAGGGAGACTGAAGCAGGAGGACCACTTGAACCAAAGTTTGAGGTTGATGTATGAGAACGAAACACATTATAGACCAGGTAACGGCTGGGTGTCGTGGCGGGTGCCTGTAGTCCCAGCTACTTGGGAGGCTGAGGCAAGAGAATCGCTTAAGTCCGAAAGTTTGAGGTTGCTGTGAGCTGTGACTCCACGGCACTCCCCTGAGGGCAACACAGTGAGACTCTGTCTCAAAAAAAAAAAAAAGAAAGAAAGAAACTTGAGTATTGCTCTGCCTGCTGGGCTAAGAGTGCTGTGGCATCAGCCTAGCTCACAGGAACCTTGAACTCCTGGGCTCAAGCAATCCTCCAGCTTCAGCCTTCAAGAGTAGCTGCAACTGTAAGTTCCTGCCATGATTCCCAGAGTGCTAGTATTACAGGCGTGAGCTGCTCCATTTTCGTGCACCCATTTTCAAAAACTTCACACTGAACTACATGCTGTGTCAAAATAACAACCAAAGTGGAGCATTCTGTTTATTGTGTTTGAGCAGGTGCCACACCTGCGTGTGTTCTTGTATGTTTCCTACTATAACCCTAGACTGTACCAGTTTGTCTCTCATCTTAAATGAAGAAACTGAGATGTAGATGAGTGTAGTTAGTGCATATAGTGTCCCTTTTTGAGTTGTGAGTATGCTAAGTCTATAGCCAAAAAAGTTGGGGGTTTTTTGTTGTTTTTCTTTCTTTCTTTTTTTTTTTTTTGGTGACAGAGTTTCACTATGTCACCCTCAGTAGAGTGCAGTGGCATCATAGCTCACAGCAGCTTTCAACTATTGGGCTTAAGCGATTCTCTTGCCTCAGCCTCCCAAGTAGCTGGGACTACAGGCACCTGCTACAATGCTTGGCTATTTTTTGGTTGTAGTTGTCATGGTTGTTATAGCTGGCCCATTCAGGGTTCAAACCCGGCAGCCTCAGTGTATGTGGCCAGCACCCTCCCCACTGAGCTACAAGCCTGCCCAGCTGAGAAAGTTTTTAATGGCTGTGATGATTTTTTGTAGTTTGTGTCTCTGAACGTTTTATAGTTCAGAATCTTGGGTAACAAGCCTCTGAACATTAAAATGGGTTCAAAATAACAATTTGATTACTTTTACTCTATACTGTGGTACTGCATACACTATATACACAATCTACTGCATAGGTCCAAAGGATATTCTCATGTATTTAAGATATAACCTGAAGTTGTGCTGCTCAGCAGCCTGGACTATAATTATCAGGAAGTTTGTTATATTTTTACATTTAAGACTTTATTTTTTTTTGGTGGGGACATAGATTGTTTTACATTTATTTATAAAAAATTTGAGGCTGAGCAGAGTGGTTCACTACTGTAATCTTAGCACTTTGGGTGGCCGAGATGGGCAGATTGCTTGAGCTTGGGAGTTTGAGACCAGCTTGAGCAAGAATGAGACCCCCATCTCTAAAAGTAGCTGGGTGTTGTAGCAGGCGCCTGTAGTCCCAATTATTTGGGAAGCTGAGACTAGAGAATCACTTGAGCCCGGGACTTTTAGATTGCTCTGAGCTACATGTAACGCCACAGCACTGTGCTGAGGGCAACATAGTAAGACTCTGTCTCAAAAATATAAAAATAAAAAAAAAATCTTTTTAACTTCATAACCATCATAGTTGTGTTTGTTTTGGTTAGACTTAAAATTAAGTTTTCACAGAAAATTGTTCTGAATTGATTACAGTTAGAAACAATAGTTGAATTAGCTACCTTTTCTGGGTGCCATTGGGCAGAAATAGAAACGAGCTTTATTGACTTTCTTTTAGAAAGTCGTTGGTAAATTACTAATGCAGAATTTCTGATTTTTATTCACTCTTAATTATTAAAATATATACTTGTAATTTAAACAGTGTATTACCTAATGTGTTCATAAGATAATGTTCATTTTATCTTGTGAATTAATACAGCTGTGTATCAGTGACTCAAAATGATTTACACCAACAAAATTTATCACCGTAATCGTTCCAACTTTACTAATGGAATATATTATATTTTAAATTTTAAAAAGTTAGGAGGGTGAGTTTCATTTAGTTTTTACGTATGAAATGTCACTTCACTTGAAATAACTACTGGTGTACTAATGTAGTTACTTGCAAGTAGAATAAAATTATTCTAGTCTGTAACATTTAAGGGATAAAATAAAACATGTTGGCTAATAAATTGGACTTTTATAAAGGTGGTACTAAAAAAAATAGGTTGTACTATGCATTATTGTCACTACTGGAGAAAAACTTAGTCAAGGAAAATAATTTTGTAGCTAGGAGTTGTCTCAGGCGACTGTAGTACCAGCTACTGGAGAGGTTAAGACAGGAGAATCACTTGAGCTCAAGAGTTTGAGGTTTCTGTGAGCTATAAGGGTGACAAAGTGAGACTCTGTCTCAAATAAAAAGAAAAAATAATTTTGTTGTTTATAGTTAAGTGTTAACATATTTTCATTTTTACATATATTTGATAGTATGCCTGTATTACTTGCAGAACCTCTATTCCTTCATGTTAAAGCATTCACAAGGATAAGATTCTATCCCATGGCCTTTATTTTTATATTTTAGTTTCTGTCTTTCTAGAAAGATTTGTTTATTCGATTACCTGGAATTGCTTTAGTCATATGTTCCATTTGAACACCTAAAGAAATTAGCACTTGTTTTTGGGTATGGCATTTATTTTCCTAGTGACTGTGATTTTTAAAAAGTTTCACAAACCATATGGTTTCAGAGTAAAATTTAAGACATAGCATTACTACTGAAAGTGGAGCAGAATTTTCATAGCATATACTGGTTCTGAATATGACAGTAGGAGCCTTAATAAAAAATAACTGTGTTTTGCTTTGTTACTGTGTTTAATTTACATGGCCTTTTATATCTTCATAAGATTCTTGCTATGCTGTTAAAGTAAGCTTCCTGTATCACGAAATACTTCAGTATCATGTTCTCCACTCAGTAGGAGATGTTGATTAATATTTATATATCAGAATCTTACTTGATATGTGTTTGTTTATTTATTTTTTAATTTTTTTTTTTAGAGACACAGTCTTATTTTACCTCCAACTCCTGGGCTTAGGCAGTTCTCTTGCCTCGGCCTTCCCTGTATCTACAGGCGTCTTCCACAACGCCTGGCTATTTTTTTGTTGCAGTTTGGCCAGGCCAGGTTTGAGCCCACCACCCTTGGTTTATGGGGCCTGCGCCCTACTCACTGAGCCACAGGCACCGCCCTTGGTGTGCGTTTATATTGGAGTTCAAATTGCAGGACAGACTTCTTTTTTTGAAATATATTGACCTTTTATTGTTTTTATTTATTTTTTAATTTCTTTTGGCCAGGGCTGGGTTTGAACCCGCTATCTCTGGCATATGGGGCCGGCGCCCTACCCCTTTGAGCCACAGGCACTGCCCCTGGACTTCTAAGAGAAGCGTATTAGGGAAATAATTATTTGTAGTTTTGTCCTTTATAAACACTTTTCTAGGGCTTTTAATGTTAGGGTTGGGCTCGGCGCCTATAGCTCAACCGGCTAAGGCGCCAGCCACGTACACCTAAGGTGGCGGGTTCGAATCCCCAGCCCGGACCCGCCAAACAACAATGAC